GTCCTTTTAGCCATATGGTTGCAGAGGTCCCAGAAAGAGTACATCAGTCCACAGATCCAGAATGAAATTCTGTCAACAATGAGCAACAACATTGTTAGTGGAATAGCCGATACAATAAGAGCTCGACCAGTTCTTCAGTATGCAGTTATTATGGATGGAACACAAGATATTTCTGGCCAAGAGCAAGAAAGTATTTGCCTTCGTTATGTTGCCAAAGACCTAAAACACCATGAAGAATTCATTGGTTTGTATTTTGTTCCAGAAACAACAGGAAAAGCCCTTGCTGAAGTAGTTCAAGATGTGCTGCTGAGACTAAACTTACCTAAGCAGTGTTTACGAGGTCAAACTTATGATGGGGCTGCTAACATGGCTGGGAAGCACAGGCTCGAATAAAACAACCCTAGCCCCTCTCCTGTCTTAGCTTCCCTACATTGGCTACCTGTTAAATTCAGAATAGATTTTAAGATCCTTCTTCTCACATATAAAGCTCTTAATAATCAAGCTCCATCATACATCAGTGATCTGATTGTTCCATACGTTCCTAACCGAGCACTTCGCTCTCAGACTGCAGGTCTACTGGTGGTTCCCAGAATATCTAAAATTATGATGGGAGGCAGATCTTTTAGTTATCAGGCTCCTCTCCTGTGGAACCAGCTCCCAGTCTTAGTCCGTGAGGCAGACACCTTGTCTACTTTTAAGAATAGGCTCAAAACATTTTTATTTGATAGGGCCTATGGTTAAAATCTGATGTTAGCTTAGATCTGGACAAGTGGGGGAGTAGAGGGAGGTGGAGTGTACAGTCGGTAAAGACGGCTCTCCCTTGCCCTGCCTCCAACATGCCTCCATCTAAAAAGGCTAGGTTATCCAGAGTTATCTCTGTAGTTATGCTGCTATAGGCTTAGACTGCTGGAGGATACACTGACCACTTTCCACACTCTACTGCTTTCTTCTACAATCTGCTCTTTAATTGTATTATTTCCTGCTACTTCAGCTATTTATTTTTTCTCTAAGTGTTTTTCTCCCCAGAGGAAGCTATGGTGATGTTCTGCTGAGCTTTGGTGGCCTCATGGAGGGGGCCATCGTCTAGCACATGTTTATCAGTATCAGTATCATTATTTATCAATATTTGCCCTTTATTTTTTCCAAGACAAAGCACAACTTTATTTAACTCCTAGGAGAGAAGATTCTCTTTTAAAAAGGTAAAAAAAATCCTTAAATGGAGTTTAAAGGCCACTATTAATGTTCAATAAAGGCCACTATTAATGTTCAATAAATTTAGGTCATTATCAGCATTAATTAAAAATTGTGTTAAATAGTCAAGATCTCAATTTCAATCTAAAATAATCATGATTAATATTTTTGCTATAATCTAGCAGCCCTACGTGTTATCAACGTAGGGCTGCCGTAGTGTATGCGTTGATGTTGCAAGATTTACAGGTTATTCACAAGTGCAGGATTTAAATTGTCAGTGTGTGGCATTTGTAGTTTGTGTACAGCCAGCAAATTAGAAAGTACTGAGTCCAGTAGGTAGCTCGTTGTTAAAACACCGGGAAGTGTGTTTTGAACCACATTGCTTTCACAGTTGGTTGGAGGCAATCACTGGTGTTATGGATTAATGCGATTTTGGGTTAACTGTTTTCCTACTTCTGTTAGCATCGGTGTCAGTCCATAGGTGACGTGGTGGATTGCCTCGGCCCAAGCCGCTCTACGCTTCCCTCGATCCGAAAATACGGCCTGCTCTGCTCGGCAGAAGGATAGTTTTGATTTGGGGCTGAGCTTAGTGTGAAAGGGCTATAAGGTAGAGAAACACAGTTGGCCACAAAAAGCATGTAGCGGGTTCAAGCTAACATTCAGTTTTGGTCACCACCCCACACTTCTTTGTCTTCCTCAGTATCCGGTCCCTCTGGTCTCCAGAGCATAACCGCAGCATATAGTGAGCTCCATTTGGCTACATTTTGATCCAGTGACACATCAAAATCAGAGGTGCTTTGGAATTTCCATATGATTACAAAACATCTCATATAACAGTCGTTGTGACATCAGCAGCATCAAACATTGGAATCATTTAACTTTCTATTAATGCCATGTTGAAATTACATTTTGTTCACAGCAGTCTAAAATGGTCTTTAAAAGGTCCTAAGTCTAACTTGCTTAAAACTGCAAGAATCCTGCATTCTGCTTATATGATATTGGGTTGCTTGGAGCACTTTATCTAGAAGTAAAAGCCCAGGTCTCTGTTTTGAAATACTATCCCAAATTGTTTACTATTATTTTTTACGTGTCTTGCCTCAATTCTGCACATAATGTACATCATGCTGAACTCTGGTACTGTGATTAGTGGCCGTCATCCGGAACAGTTATATTTAGGGATGTCCTGATCCGATATTGACATCGGATATTCGTCCGATATCTGATATAAAGCTCTATTGGATTATATTTGACAGCATTAAAAATCTCTGGTATTATAAGCAGTCTGTTCCGCTCTAAATTCAGTTTTTAGTGCTCCTCCTTTGCCATTTACTTTAGTGCCGCTCCAACAACAAAATGGAGTAGATCCCTCTCACCGCCCCAGTGCTGCGTCTTCCAAAGATGTTATTGGCTTTTTAGCGACTAGCGACAACAACTCTGTACTTTTTAAGCCCCCGACTGAATTCTGTGGTACCGACAGGGCCGAATTAGTGTGATATGAAATGGTGCCTCATTTCGCTAGCAGAGAGGGAGAAAGAGAGAGCGAGAAGAGAGCAAGCATAGTGACGTCCATCGCTGCAAGCGGAATGTAAACAGTGCAGGCTGAGGCTACAGCATGGCAGAGTAGCAGTATTAAGTTTGGCTCAATGCGACGGAGATTCCGCTGCTGTCTGACACAGGAATCAAGGCCAGTGGTGAGAAGACATCTAGTCTCCGTAACCGAAGTTTGTAACGTTAATATAGTGTTTTTTTCTTAAACCGGCTGGCAGCTTGGCTGGCAGTGAAGTGTCCCTTCACTGAGAGTGTGAAGGAAGGCTGTCAGAGGGCAGATGAGCGTCACAGCCAGACTGTTTCTTTTGCCTTTTACAAGTAATAAAAACTATAGTAATATAGTATATATATTATATATACTATAATATGCACTACTATATATATCATATACTCGTAAAGTATATATATATTAGTAAATATATAGTAAATCCTAAAAACTGTTTAATATGCACGTAAGTAAATGTAATATAAATAACTTAATAAATTTAGGTTGTCAACATTAATTTAAAATTGTGTTATAATGGAGATCTCAATTTGAATCAAAATACGGTAATTGTGATTATCATTTATGCCATAATCGAGCAGCCCTAATTTTAGTCGTTTGTTATTTATCTTTAAAGGTTCACATTTATGCAACTAACAGTTATTAATAAATTATGTTTTCATATGTACTTTTGCTGGCTTTGTTTAAGTGATATCAGTTGATCCAGCCTTTCATATATTCCACAGTAAATACGTAAAAATATGTATGATTTGTGCTGATATTATTCCGGATTGATATCGGTATCGGAAAATTCTGAATGGTGCAGTATCGGAAATTATATTGGAACTGAAAAAATGGCATTGGGACATCCATAGTAATTTTATGGTTTGTTTTGTTAATGCATCAGAATGTGATTTTTCTTTTTTCTTTTAGTTGAACAGAAAAATGCTTGAACTCGATGATTTATCAAGTTGTGCCAGTAGCGGGGACGAGTATGTTCCAGGACCTGAAAGCGACAGCACTGAAGACAGTGACGAGGCAGATTCTGTCAGTCAAACAGGATCAAAGGTTTCAAGAAAGTGATGTCAACCTCCTTTAGAGCAACAGTAGAACCAGTGAAAAACTACTCTGTTCCTGTTCCTGTTGTTGAAGAGACACCTGACAGCATCCCTGCATCTGAATCTGACAATCTAACTGACTCTCTCAGCACAGCAAATGCAGACAAAGTGTCTGCATCCAATGTAAAAGTTCTGAAATTAAGAAAGAGAGAAGATGGTGAAAGACTTTACTACAAGAGGTTCTGCTGTTGTTTCTGTCAGAAACCTTACAGCAAAATATCCCGACATCTCGAAGCCAAACACAAAGACAAGCCAGAAGTGGCAAAAGCAATGAAATTCCCTAAAGGGTCCAAGGAGAGAAGAATACAGCTTGACTTACTCCGAAATAAAGGAAACCACACTCACAACTCTAAAGTGATCCAAGAAGGTAAAGGTACTGTCATACCTCGACAGCAATCCAGCAAACGTACTCACGCCAAGGATTATGTCCACTGTATAAACTGTGAAGCCTATCTGAAAAGGAGGTCTCTCTGGAGGCACATGCAAAGATGCTACCTAAGTTAACAAGTGTCTGGTCTAAAGCCAGGTAAATCCAGAGTCCAAACCTTGTGTCAATATGCAGAGCCAGTACCAGCTAGTGTTAATAAGAACTTTTGGAAACTAGTGCTTAGCATGCATGATGACAAGGTTACAAATGTTATTCACAGTGAGAAAAGTATATTGAAATTTGGTGAACACTTGTATAACAAACATGGACATGATGGTACAAAACACGAGTACATTCGCCAAAAGATGCGCAAGACTGGACGATTGGTTCTGCAAGGGGAAAAAATGGATAGTTAGAGACTCTGTCCGATTTCTTCGTTCCAGCTAATTTCCCTCATGTAGTCTTTGCTGTCAGGAATGTTGAGACACATGTATACAAAACACCATCCTCGCCCTTAAGTTGGGACACAACCTGAAAATAATCGCTGTTGTCATGGAATGTGAGGCTATGATTGCTGGGGATGAAAAGACAATCCAAAATGTGCAAATGTTTAAACAAATCCACAAAAGAAAAATGGAGTGAGTGCTTATCCTCTCAGGCTCTGAGGACTTTAAAAGAAGCCAAATGGAATGCGCCACAACTCCTCACTTTTGCGGAAGATGTAAAAAAAATGAATGAGTTTTTAGAAAAGCAAAGAGTAGAATCTCGACGTATGCTAAAGGAAGAAGTTGCCTAGAAACATTGGACTAATCTTGCAAAAGTTACCTTATGCGAGGTCATCGCCTACAACCGTTCGAAGAGCGGGAGAAGTATCTAAAATGTCTATGAATGTCTTCACTCTGAGAGACATTTCTGCAACCCCCCCAGATGTGGAAATGGCTTTATTGGATCTTGAGAAGAAGCTCTGCAAGCATTTCCAGCATATGGAAATAAAGGGCAAATGTGAACGCAAGGTTCCAATTCTTCTTACCCTTGATATGGTGGAGTCTATGGAGCTGCTTGTTCAGACCCGTCGTCAATGTGGTGTGTTGGACGAGAATGCATACATGCTCAGCCGACCTGATGCACTCAGTTACTACAGAGGTTCTGATGTCATTCGCCTGATGGCACAGAGCTGTGAGGCCAGTCATCCAGGAGTGTTGTCGACAACAAAGCTGAGAAAGCACATGGCCACAATGTCAAAAGTACTCATTCTCAGAGATAATGAGATGGATAACCTTGCGGATTTTCTTGGACATGACATCAGAGTACATCGCCAGTATTACAGACTGCCAGAAGGAACCCTGCAACTGGCGAAGATAAGCAAGGTTTTAATGGCACTGGAACGGGGACAGCTTTCAAGTTTCAAGGGACAAAATCTAGATGAGATCAACATCGACCCTGAAGGTAACAGTTTAAAGATTTAGTTATAGTGTGAGTTTACTTTTTTCTAACTTTAGTAGCCCACTAAAAGTTGTGTGTATGTTCTTTTATTTCCAGAAAAAATGTCTGACTCAGAAGATGAGCAAGATCTGCTGACGGAGGATCCAGCCGCTTCAGCCTTACCATCGTATCTATAAGGTATGAATAAGACAGTTCAGTGAATGTGATGAAAGACACCCGTTTAAAATTTTTCTTGTAGATTTGTAAGACATGAAACTTTTCTATGGGGACCCTAAAGCCTGCAGCAGACTAGAGCAGTCTCCAAGCCCATTCTGTCTCTTGAGGTGAATATCGAACCGGTTTTATATGTTTCTCTTCGCGAGGCAAAAACCTGACAATGTTGGCTCTACATGACATGTGTGCCGAGCAAAAATATTCTAGTGGCCAATCAAAACGCGCTCTCAGCTCACGTGATTCTAAGATAGCAGAGCGCTGCCTTCACAAGGTTAGCTATCTAGGCAGGTAGCTTGTAGTACTTTAACTGTTAATTGGGATTTACCCTTCCTGATTTTGCAGTAAAAGTCTGGTCCCTTGCATGTGGTTTGAGTGGACAAAGCCCCCTGCTGAGCAGGGTTACTCAATTAGATTTTACTGAGGGCCAAATTATGTTTATGTATTTAGCAGACGCTTTTGTCCAAAGCGACTTACAAGTGATAATCGGCATATTGCCCTTGAGGCTAACAACAACAATAACAACAACAACATTGACATCAGTCATGGAGAGTATGGAACAAGGAGTGGACAGTAGAGAGGGGGGACGGGTGCAGGGAGGGTGCTAGTTAAGAAGATGCTCTCTGAAGAGCAGGGTCTTCAGGAGTTTCTTGAAAATTGAAAAGGAAGCCGCAGTTCTTATGTCAAGCTTGCCATGTCAAGGGCTAAATAGTTTTTTTTTCACCTTTGGAGTATTGATACTTTTTATGGGTGGATATTGTTACGTACATTTTAAAAATATTTTTAATGTTTTTGTCAAGGTTTCCTTGAGAATTTGTTTTTATTCTTTAGATACTGAAGAGCCTGAAACCGCAGAGGATTTTGCTCCTGAGCTTTTGCCTCGTCCTTCATCCATTCAGCCATCAGGTATTTACAGAGTTATTGAGATAATAATTATATACTCATTTAGGAATAACATTCAAAGTGGGGGCATGTTTCCAAAAAAGTGCCCTGGTTTTCGCAAAGTAACTTTCATTTTCTACATACCAAGTGCTACGATGGTGCTAGATAAGCTATGCATGCTTTGAATTATCCTTGTCATAAAATGTATAACTGTCATTCTGATTAATCAGGGGTGACCAAGAAAGGGACAGCTGGTGGTGAACAGAAAAAGCAGTGCATCATCAAAGGTAGAATTATTTTGTGTGATAGGGAAAAATATGTATTAAAAATAGCAATTGTGGAAAAGTTTTTCTTTTTTCACACTGCTCTACAGTTTTGTTGTAACAATTTTGTTTTTCTAGAAACAGCAGCTGTAAAGTCCACAGATACTGAAGAGCCTGGTGAAACAGCAGAGGATTCTGCTCCTCAGCCTCAGCCTACTCAGTCATCAGGTATGTTAAGGTAATGGAGATAATAACTGTATACTGATTTAGAAATCTTGTTTAAAGTGCCTGTTTAAAAAACAAAACATTAGAAGTGTTTTGCAAAGTAACAGGTTTTCTACCTCTTAGGTCACACATATAAAATAGTATGTCATCCATGCTTTCGTTCTTTTTTAAACACAGAAACAGTTTTGTTTACCTGTTTGTAGCTACAAACAGGTAAACAAAACTGTTTCTGTGTTTAAAAAAGAACGAAAGCATGGATTTACAAAGACACAGCAAGAACACACCTAAGTATGTCATCCAGTTCTTTTGCCCAAATGCTTGACCATAATGTGCAATCCAATTCAAGAAAAATTCTCTAAAGAGTAGAGTATTTCTGTTTTTATCCCAAATTTAGAATAACTTTGGTCGTTTTGTATATACTATGCATTAATTATAAGACTATGCATGCTTTGAAATACCGTCTTGAAATATAACTATTGTGATCAATCAGGGGTGACCAAGAAAGGGAGAGCTGGTGGCGGTGGACAAAAAAGCATCACATCATCAAAGGTACAATTTATTTTTCAGAGACAGACATTTACACTGACCAAAAAAGTAAAGGTAAAACATAAATAGGCCCTTATATGTCTGAATGAATTATTAAATTCTTTGTCTGTTAACCCTCTGGGGTCCATGGACGTGTATACACGTCTTTTGAACAGGTCTGATTTGGGACATTGTAGCAGCAAGACTCCACCTCCCTGAGTTTGGGTTTCAATATAGCTTTAAAAAGGAGATTATAAACTACACCCCAGTTTTTAAATTTTGTTAATAGGCAATGTAAAAGCGGAGTTATGCTAAACTAAAAAACAACCTATTTTTAGACAATCTGATAACTTGTCAAAACAGCAGTTTAGTAATCCGTGAGAGGGAATGTGCTTGTGAACATAAAAACCCACAAAAACATGAGATCCTTTTGCTGTTGGTGGAAGTCTCACATATTCAATTGATAAAAAATATCATTATGTAGCTGAGAGAGAGGAAGGCTGCACACGTACCGAGATGTGTGCAAAAAGGAGCCGCTTTGCGGGGAAAGGAGTGGCGCGAACGGAGTAACAACAAACAATTAGACAGATATTGACGGTAAACTTCATATTTTGGAGCGATCCGGACAGATATATTGTCTCTGCAGTTTAGTAGGCTTTTATTAGGCTTATATAAAGGATGATGAGAAGGATAAATGTCCACCAGGCAGTTCAAATAGTACAGCTGTTCGGACCTCCGCTGCTTCAATTGCGTATTAAAGAAGAGAAACATTGAATAAATAAACATTTATTCATATTAGGGATAATCAACACAGTGCTAACACACTTATATTTTAAACTTACACCAGAGATGATAAAAGCCCTGAGAGAAACAATTACAAAAATCAGTTTTTCTCGTTTTTCAAGTAACTTAACATAAATTAAAATCGTAAACATATTTAAAGTGCAAACATGTCAATTGCAAACGTATTGTGCAAACATGAACTTGTTCAAAATACTATGTAGCTCCCAGTTGCTCATGTAGTGGATAGTTAAGCTCAAATACGGCTCTGATGTGCAGCTGGACCAGAGATCGCTTGTGGTAGCAAATAACTGCGCATTCTGAATATTTTCTGCAACAAGTCTCTAAATAAAGTAAAATTTTCCAGTGCAGAGTGGAGACAACCCATAGAAGCACTGATTTGATCTCATTTCAGAGAAAAATAGAACAGGTTAGATGCACCTAATAAATAAAATTACTAACAAACTCAGGAATCTTTCTTTGCTTCCCTGTTCTGGTGCTGAAAACATCACTAATGCAGATAAAAGGAGATACACAGATGGATTATTTGGAGATTTATTATTTGGAGACTACATTTACTGCAGCTGGCAGAGGCAGAGATTGTTTCTATTGATACACGGATTTACAGAATCATTTTAAATGTTAATAGGGGAAGACTGCAGGAGGGAGCAGTAAAATACAGGGGGTCCCAGCAAAAACAAGAAACTTTACGAGTCTGATGAAACCTGCTGGGTTTCCATCAGGCAGTCACGGGGCAGCTCCAACGACCCAGTGGCCGAGCTCAGTCCGGCTTGGCAGAGGGTGAACGAGCCGAGGCGACGTCGTGCTCTGCTTAAGAAGCGGTGTTATTTTCCTGCTTCAGAAGAAGCGTCCAACGTGTTTTTACGCTTTCTCCGAGACATGTCACGTCGCTAAGTTGTTAGCGCCGCGCGCTAAGGAAACCCTGCATTCATTCCTCTTCGGAACGAAAACCTCGTTGTCGCTCTCAGCCGCGGCCGAAGCCATGTTTGTTCACACACAGGTGAAAACAAGCGGGGCACTAATATATTACTACGACTCACTCTAATTGGTTAAGGGTCAAACAAAGGCGTGTCATTCGCCTGGGGTAAGTTCCCTTTTCATTCAGAGGCAGAATTTCAACAGCAGAGCTGTGAATCGTGATAAAAAGGTCTCTCAAAAATGACAGACCGTCAGATGTGTAGATCGTAAAACGGTCTAAAATCGTCATATCGCCCAGCCCTACTTGGGGATGTCCCTCCATAGCTCAGCAAGCTCGGAGCTGGCGGAGGACCCCTGTCTGACTCGGGAGACATCCTAGGACTGACTTGGTTGCATCAAGGTTTTCCTACGAGCCACGTGCATTGGGGTCAACGACCCCTTGACATCTCAGATCCAAACAGGCATGACAAGATTGCGTCTGAAGTGGTTTTGATAAGTCAACTCTTTAGCTTATAACAACCACAAATTCTTTTCACACCCAGAACATAGTTTCTTCTAGATACAAGGTTCTGATAAACACACACCATTCAATCATCATACATCACATTCCATCCACTTATATTCATCCATCACATGTGTCTTATTTATACCTTGTCTTGTTTTTAATTTGTTTATAAAATAAATTACATACTTTTATAAACTTGACTGTCTGAATTGATGCGAAGTGTGTTTGATCACTGAAAAAGCTAATAATCCTAATTCTTCTGATTAAACATTCAAAGACCAATAAGGTTGACATCCTATATTTATATAGAATATCACATCTTATTGGTCATAAATAAAGGTAATAAATTAAGCTTAAAAGCAACAATAACAATTCGGCTGGCAATAACAATAACAGCAAGGGGTAAACCCTTCTACACACTCGTGGTTTAATTTGCCTATTGAGCATGCTTTTTTCGAATGGCGTAGAATGACTGAACATCAGAAAATCAACAGAGCTCCAATTAGCCCTGGATATTATAAAAATATGCAACAACTTAAGTCCGAATGCGAGTCTGCTATGAGAAAGCTTAACCCTGATTTCTATTTGATTTTTAGGGGGCCTGATCCCACGCTTGTATATCAGATCGGTGGCAAAATAGAATTTAGATTTGCAGCACCTTTAGCGTATTTGCTAGGTTTTAATGTTGAGGAGTGGCTGACTCCTGAATTATCATCCAGCAATAAACCCATCAAATCAGTGTCTCTTCTTCCCGATTTAACTGCCGGTTTTGATCAGTTTTATTGTTATTCAGACGTGGTGGCCGAGCAGCTTATGGGTTATGAGTATGCGACGTTATTACGCACGGTGAAAGTTGAAGGTGCATTCGGGGATACGATCACCCATGTGCTCAGCCCTGTGGATTACTTTCGGCTGGCCACGAATCATATAGAAAACATTCAAATTGAAATTAAATCTGATCTTTATAAACCGATCCATTTTTTATATGGCAAAACTACCATAAGGCTCCATTTCCAGCCCGCTCCCTCCTATCAGAGAAATACAGGAATATAACGTGCGTGAAACGGGGTGGGAGGATCAGTTACGCTCTTTTACTCAGCGCGGCATACATCTTGCAAATGAAAAATGATTCATCACATGCAGAGAAATGACCCCAATCAATTTATTAATTATTACGTAACCCAGGCTGGTCAGGGCCTCCCCGGTTTCAAGGGAGTTCCTTATTTTCAGGGGCATGGCTTCAGTTCAGTATTATATACGTGTTCGGTTCAACATTCAATATGTGAAAAAAGTGGTTGCTTCACCAGCCGTACATCTGGGACATAAATCTGCTTTACTGAAAGCAAACGCATTGTATCCCTTAGCACGCGTCACCGTCAAAACATACTCCATACCACAAAATTCTAGGATATGCAGTCTGGAGAATCTCTTTCTTGGAGCTAGTCCTAAATATATAGTTTTTGGGATAGTAGATCATGAAGCTTATATGGGCAGAAGAGATCTATCTCCATTTAATTTCCGCCACTTGGATGTGGAATATCTTGCGCTGTGCAGAGACGGCAAACAGATCCCAGCTGACCTGCGAACACAGAACATCTGTTAAAGAATTTTACAACCTGTATACAGCCACGTCCAGACATTTGAAAGATTTGCCGCTGGCCATCAACAGGACAGAATATCAGCGGGGGTACACACTCTTTGCATTCAATCGGAACTCTGCGGATGACGAAGATGCTTAGTCTCCTTTTGCTAATGGCAACTTGAGACTGGAGATGTGCTACGGTGCTCCGCTGCGTGAGACGCCTACACTAATTGTGTATGCTTGTTATGATTCAGTTCTCCAAATAAACACAAAGAGAGGTTCTGGTTGATTATTGATGAATAATCACAAGCTGCATGAAATATTATCCAGCCTGCTCAAAGATGTATTTTTGGGAGTGTTCGCCTCTGATCAGCCAACTACAGTCCTGAAAAAAATCCAGCTCCCGGCCTATTTTGTAGTAAACACCCACACATCTAATTCGCCTGGTGAACATTGGTTAGCTGGAGCTCTGGCCTCGGGACATTTTTCGATCCTTATGGATTTTCACCAGAGTTTGAATATTATCCCGAAACCATCCTCCATTTTCTAAAAGAACCTTGCTTAGAAATACATTATCAGGACGCGCAGCTGCAGAGCCTGACATCCAACCGCTGCAGACATCATTGTGTTTTTTTCCTGTGCCATAATGCCTGCGGGCTTTCTCTGAAACAGCATTGATTTTAACAGTAACTCACTTATCGGACTTGGACCCTGCCAAACCAAACACATACCTGTCATTATCAGCAGAGAGCAACCAATCAAACATAAATCTGGCAAACCCAACTTCAATAACCAGCTAACAAAAACCTTAAGTTCAGTAAATTACACAGCTACTCTACCTCCAGCATCTGTTAATATGGCTCTTTTTAATGTTGGCTCTCTGCTGAACAAAACTTTTATTATAAATGACCTGATTTTAGATTTTAATCTTCAGTGTTTATTTTTAATTGAAACATGGCTGAGTTCAGATGCCTCTGTTGTGTTCACAGAGGCCTCCCCATCCAATTTTAATTTCAAATTTTCTACGAGGAATGGTAAAAGGGGAGGCGGAACTGCTTTTATAAGTTCATCAACACTTTTAGCAAAACCTGTTTTATTTGATAATTTTAACACTTGTGAATACACTGCAGCCGCTTTTGGCATTCCTCAGATTTTATGTGTTACTGTTTACAGGCCTCCTAGACAGAGCGCACCTTTTGGTTTTCAGAGTTTTTATCAATTTTACACAACTCCTTTGATAGGATTATTTTAGCTGGAGATTTTAATCTGCACGTGGAAACACTGGACAGTTTTGTCCTGGTTGAAGTTGAGTCTTGATAAAGTTTTCTCCTTAGTGAGACCCACCACATGTGTCCTGGACCCTATTCCCTCTAGGTTTTTTTTAAACAATTTTATGATTCTTTTAAAGATGAGGTTTTAAGACGGGGGTCTTTCCTGCCACTTTTAAACGGGCGGTGGTGAGGCCCCTGCTGAAGAAGAGCAATTTAGATTTTAATGATTTAAACAATTATCGACCGGTTTCCAACTTACCATTTTTAAGCAACATTTTAGAAAAGCTTGTTTTAATCCAACTCAATGATTTTATCAACACCCATAATGTTTTTGAAAATTTTCAGTCTGGTTTTAGGGTGAACCACAGCACTGAGACAGCCCTTCTGAAGATTTAAATGATTTTAGAATAAATTATGATAAACGGAAGGTGACAGTGTTGGTTCTACGGGATCTAATTGCTGCCTTTTGTTGGTCCTGAAAGACCAAGACAGGTTCGGAGCGATTGGAGAAAAAGATGTCTGCTTCTGAGTTGATGTTGGAGTCAAAAAACCAGTCAAAATAAGATCCACCGCTGCAGAGGGAGAACACGCAGCTCTCGTGCAAGGACTACCGTCTTGCTTCTGCAGCTGCCTGAAGTGTTCTGATCTCTCAGTTTGAGACGGCTAGATTTATTCACTCAAGCAGGGAGGGGTCACATGTGTGTACAAGGTTCGGTTTGAACAATCCTCTAAACAGCAGACTTGCAGCCTTGAGATAGGGTTAAACAGGATGCGGCTACTGTCTCAACAGAAAACAGGAACCTATTCACGCTGTGTGCAGAAAAACACCCGAGAGGAGGGGTGAGCAGCAGATAACTGGAACATCTGGAGTGTGATGAACTGCAGAGTCAGGTTCTCATCATACACATTACCATGATTATATGTTCTCTTGTGCTCATTTAGCAGTAACTATTATTAACATTCCCCCTTTTGAACTCTAATAAGAGTTCAACAATAATATAAAAAGTAGAAAACAAACACAATCATCATCCTTAATTCATTACCACAGAACCCAACAATTTATCAATTCAACAATACAACAACAATAGCCTATTTGTAAATTGATTCAAAGGTGTCGAATACAACCTTTGTAAGATAACTGGAGGGTGTGAAATAAAACCCCTTATATAGTAACTGAAGGGTGTTAAGTAGAACCCTTGTAAAATAACTGAAGGGTGTTAAATAGAACCCTTGTAAAATAACTGAAGGGTGCTCTCTTCTTCCCCCTGTCGAGGTCCCTCCACTGGCTCCAGGCAGCTGCAGGGGGTGATGATGTTACGACTCTCGTCCCGCCGGATGTGGTGGTAGCTTGGCACGCTACCGCATCCTGCAGAGGTCAGCTACTTCTCTTCCTGGGCCCTGAGGTCCTCCTGGATTTCCGACACTGTCCGTCCTGGCTCGTCCGTGGCCGCGCACTGGGTCCAATGGTACCAAGCGTCTCCTTTGCCCTCCAATCTGACCGCATGTGAGGTCCTCTCGATCACCTTGTAGGGACCGGTCCACCTGGGCTCCGTCCACTTTCGTTTGGTGGCCTTCAGCAGGACCCACTCGACGCCTGGCACCGATGGCGATGTATCTGTGGAATGAGGTTGAGTCCCCACCTGC